TCTGTCAACGACCTGTGATTGGCGCGGGTCTGGTTCAATGGAGGACTCTAAACTCTGTCTCACTGACTCCAGTTTTCAGCCACAGAGACTGGCTACGAGGCCGTCATCCACCTTTGATTCAGCACTCCTTGACCCCAGGTGGGTTAAAGTATTTCTACTTATATTATTCTAGAGCATTAGCTTGAATCAGGCTTTGACGTATAGGTAGACTGCAGTTGTAAGGTAACAAGTAGTTCGAAATTAGCAAAGGAATAATGTCCTATCCAAATTTAGGTAAGACACAGACTGTTTTCCTTATAGACCGCACTTTTTTGTTCATTTGCAGCCCAAAATCGCCTTCCTGACATTCGTAGCAGACCACTGTTTTTTAGGAAGTCTGTTAGGTCAAACTTACGTGAATGTGGACCCCCGACAGCGCTGCTGACCTAACAGTCAGTTAGCCCATACAAATCACCTATGCAATTGGTGATTAAATCGGCACTCCTCTTAGCAGATGTCCGCACGTCAGCTCGAAAACAAACTACATGGGACTCCGTGATTCTGTCGACCCTCAGAACCTATTAACGATATTTGACTACGTTCGGTTTCCATTGTTTCCTGTCTCTGGACGCTGCGGAAGCTGCTATCTGAAGTCACTATATGGCAACATCCTGTGGTATTTTTTGCAGACTTTCATTCCACGAGAAGGCTACTTATATTCACCTAAGCGAATGAGAAATCAAATGGATTTTTTTGATGTTGGAGCATTTATTGCCTTGAAGGGATAGCGGGCAAATATCCACCCCCTAAACATCTCAACCTTAGTATAAGGCTGTTTCGTGATGTTCTTCATTGGTTCACGGCAGAGAACGGCAATAGCACAGCAGTTAAATCAAGAACGCATTGTTTGCAATTTGGTGTACCATCTAGGATGTGCCCTAGCCACAACTCATGGCCAAGTCGCGGATTGCAGCAGAGGATAACAGAAAAAATCGGAAGGAGTTTATTATGTGCATGCCTTGAACTCCTGTCTCGAGTTACCATGGCCACTGATGAGACTTTGGGGTATGTCGACGGTGGTAAGTCATACCTGAGAGAGTCTAGGTTGACGGTTGATTTTACAGGTTAGTGGGAGCAAGGCAATGTATCTTGTGTACAGATGCGTGTGGGGTTGGCTAGAGGCGCTGAGTGTCCATTTGCAGTCAGTGAATATGAGTGGTCAGACCGCAAGCGCATCGGGGCAGACTAAATTCGCATGACCTTGACGTCGTACAGCATTGATCAGAGAGTGTGGGCAGCGCAGTGTTGACAATCAGCTACATGGATTCTGGCGACTTGGGTTTGCGGCGTTCGACTTCGTTGCAGTTCTGCTGAACGCTCAGTTTTTTGCAGTTGAGACTTTACCTTGATCTCGATCAAGTGAGAATCAATAATGCGCACAATGCGTTCCACGGACTTTTTTCTACGGGTCTTCCCTAATATTAGTGAAAGCCAACATCAGGGAACACCACTTTTGGTGTGAGGAAACAACAATTTTCGATTTAAAAAAGTTGTTAAAATCAACCTAGTTTAACTCTTGACAAAAACCCGGCCGCAGTCGGCTCAGTCAGCGCTACTAAGGACAACGATTCAATGTTATTGTATCGGCCAATCAGAAGCCAGCCAGTCGGCAGGCGATACCAAATCATTGTTACAACTAGAATTACGACCGAGCATTTCATTGAGACGGACGAGCTGACGAAAATGAAGCCGTCAAATTGAACTGTAAGTGAACACGCTCCGCGTCAAAAGCTTCGCGGTTTGATCCACGTGGTCTGTAATTTTATAACCAACTCTCTGCGATTTGGCAAGGTTCAGAGTGTCCATGTGGAACTAAGTATAACATTTTCTATTCAGGAAAGAGAGGGGAACTTTTTGACTCAAAATTATATAGGTCAGTTTAACCAGCATACTCTCCACCGAGTACCCCCCCAGTTATTTTTAAAATACGTTCTTAAAAGTAGAACTGAACCTTAACATCCTAGCGCCGTCCTCAGAGTTATCCTACCGAGCTACATTGATTTTCAGCCCAAACCTCCTGTCGCAGTGCGGCGTGGACAATTTGAAAGCCCTCAGCCCATCCAACGGTGTGTACGATGATTCATTTGAGCGTATTTCATTTGGCTCCGGCAGCGACCAACAGTTCTCATTCCCCCGAATATGGGACCTTTGCCGGATGGCCGGCCTAGATATAGGACAGACTCGAGGTGAGGAAAGCTCAGTTGATCCTACCAATTTTGGATATTTTTCTGGATTCGTCATCTTGTATTTCAAGAATGGCACTCTTCTGACTACTGTTGTCGGTGCTATTGCAAAACGAAAACCCTTTGTCTTCTCCAGACACTTGAATGTGTTTATTTTTGGCGCGGTAGACCGCTGAGCGTTGATCTGTTGAGGATGTTTTAGCACCGCAAGCGCGCATAAGCCTTCCGACCCTGACAAAAATGCCGCGTTAGGGATTATTTGATCCGTTTCTTGAGTGGTTTGAATCTGGGCCCAGTCATTCGAGCGGACAGCCAATAACAGGTGTTGGCGAATTCGGTAATCAGCCAATCAATTGTTCAAGCTGACGCCGATTGGCTCTAACCGGGCCTTTAGCCATTCATGCCCACGTCAACCTGAAATATCTTGTGAGTAGCCTGCACGCTAGTCACTATTTCAATTTCACTGAAATAATTTGTTCAACTCAAAACCAGATTTCAGAATTTTGGTTGATATTTCATGAGATAGGGAATCTGTCGTACTTTTACTTTACCCTGCTATTGTCTGACTGCCTAATGGGTTTCTTGAAAGCTCCATTGCTTTATGTATGAAGCTTTGTTGCTCACTCAAGGACGGCCAGATGTCCGCCATATTCCCCTTGTTTTAAGGTCCCAACTCCTACTCTCTGGATCTGTCCTCGGGCAGCGCGGATCAAGCAGTCAGTCTCAAGACCGAAAGGGAACGCCAGGAGATTGCCCAGTTTGTTCAGCTCTACGAGAAACACTGCGTCGAAGTCTACGCGGCCATTATAACGCCACAATTGGAAAAATTGCGTAACATTTGGCAACAATTTTGGCGTCCCGTTGAAACGGCCAACACTCAACAAGATCTGGTACTTTTTTCTATGGCCTTCCCTTATCTAGAGCACAAAACTTGTGGTTTCCTTGGCAACTGATTGCAGCCTATCCTGTGTAAAATCCTCCGATATAAACACGTGATTTCAGACGCCGGTTTCTAACTTGTCAGCCGTAATCAGTCAGTCGCACCATCCATGCCGAACCTGACTGATCCAGCGTTTGCTGACTTGTCTCATCTACTGTGAATGCTGGCGTGCAGGATCTGGCAGTCTTTATCCTCAAGGGTTCCTGCATTCCAGGATCCAAACATAAGTAGTTGAAGGGCGGCTTTTTTTCCTCTTGGTATCCCAATTGCAAACTCCAAAGGCCTTCTGGCCCAACATGTCTAATCAAGTTTATTCGCCTACTTTGGAAAGAGCCAGAAGAGGGAGGCTAGCGATTTGACCGACGGGACCAGTGGTCATGCGAAACTACGTGGTGTTGTCAGGGGGAAGCTTGTAGTCCCAAATTCCAAAAAAGTGGCGGGAG